ACAGTTTGAGAGCCACAGGTGCCACTGCTCTATTTAAGGCTGGTGTACCGGAAAAGATTATACAAAAAACAACCGGGCATAGATCACTGGAGGCATTGCGAAGCTATGAGAGGACATCGTTGGACCAAGAAAAAGAAGCATGTCGTGTATTGACCAGTATTGACAAGAATGTGTCTTACAGTATTGAAGAGCGTCACTCACAATCTACTCGTGTTACTCAAAGCAAGTGCCAAATTCCAGCTTTTCAAGGCTGTTCTATTGGTAGCATCACCATTAATTATAGAGAAGAGAACTAGGTATATGATTACTGAAAAAATAGATCTAAGATCACTTATATTTGACAAATAACTTATATTATATTGTTTAAATTAAAATTTTAAAGTTTTATCATTGTTGTTACAGCAGCTTTAGCCATGCATTACTTCCGGTGAAATATATATATTGCACTGTCGGTGCCTTTAATCATAGCTATGTCACATCCTGGTAAATATGTATATTGCACCGGAAGTGATCGTCTACCAGATATAAACCCAACGCGGTGCCTTTCATCTTATGGCTTCCCATGATACAAGGAAATAAAGAAATCAAAATTATAATAATAATTATATTTAACAAAACTGTGTGTGACCATAATTCTAACAGAGTGTACATGTAGCTTATTTATTTAGTAATAATTTGGTACTTTTTCTTTTAGTATGCATTTCAGTTGAGATTTTTATGGGTCTGAACTTAGTACATGTATCTGTAATTAAAATGATTATTAGACATGAATGGCAATTACAATGTACATGTATATGTAAAATGACATATCACACTCATGTTGTCATGATAATATCTAATTCATAGTCTCAAAATTGTCTGATGATTCAGGAGGGCCACACACTCCACCAGTGGAAGTATTGATGACATCTTTTGCTTCACATCATAAAAGCAACAAGCATTGGTACAGCCCAGGCTTCTACTCTCACCATAACGGATACAAGCTCTGTCTAAGAGTGAGAGCTAATGGAGAGTCAGAAGGAAGTGAAACACATCTAAGCATTTACATACATTTGATGAGAGGTGAATACGATGACACCTTAAAATGGCCTGTGAGAGGAAGAGTAAATCTAGAGCTATTCAAGAGAAAACATGACAAAAATCATTTTGCTGGGAAAATTGAATTTAACAATGACTCAAATCCTGAGGCCACTGGGAGGGTAATCAATGGAATACTGCTAAGAAGTGGTACTGCAGCTTTTGTTGGGGAGGGAGGAGCAACATTTATACCACAAGGCCTACTCTTCAAAGACTATGTGAAAGATGATAGCATCAGGATTCGTATTACCAGTGTAGATTTATCAGGCCAGGGCAATTCATTACCTGTCTCATTTGCTACAAATGGGTGTATTTTCGAATTTAGAGTTAATAATTTCTCTGCACTTAAAAAATATAATGGAAGTTATGTCAGTGATCATTTTTACACACATGAAGAAGAACAAGGTTACAGTTTTGTTTTGATGGTGTATCCCAATGGGGTTGGAGCAAACAAAGGGAAAAATGTATCTATTTTTGCTCACCTCACAAAAGGATTAAATGACGATCAACTCAAGTTTCCATTTCGTGGAGAGTTTACAGTTCAAGCTGTTAACTGCCATGCTGATCAAAATCATATTGAAAAAGTTATTCGAATCAATGAATTTACAGATCCCAATGAGACATACGGAAGACGTGTTGCATGGTATAATGTAACTGGACGAGCACTCAATGGATATGGATTTCCAGAATTTCTAGGACACGAACAACTCGAATACAATAAAGAGAATAACACGCAATATCTTGATGACACCGACTCAATCCTATTTAGAGTAACTAAAGTCAAAGTAATGTCAGTTTAAATTTCAATTTACAGAAATAAACTTAGTAAACCATAAAACATTGCTGTGTATATGCAGCTAACTATAGCAATTATTATGTGCATGTATATGTAAATGTAAATTTACACTATTGATTATTATTAATTATTGATTATATAAGATAAAAAGTATTAATTTGCTAATCATTAATACTAATAATTGGTTAATTTTTGAAGCAATATAATTTAAATTTTTTTGAAAATTATCTATTTTGAATAAAATTAATTATCTTTTTTGAAGATTACGCATGAGGTTGTAGTTCTACTCCATCACTTGCTGGGCAGGGAGGAAGAGCAACATTTGTACCACATCTACTTTTCCATGCATAACTATGAAACAAGGCAGCATGAATATGTGCAGGTACAGCTTTGTCAAAATAATTATTTGCAGCACATCATTAATTTACTGTAATGATTGCTGACTAGGTGACTATATGAAACATTTGTCATTTCCACATATGTCATTACTGGAGTTATAGTTCTACTATTGGCTGGTTGTCAGTTGTCACATCATTAAACCAGATCAAGTGGCAAGGATAATGTTTCCATACATCAGAAGGAATGGTAACAATACTGTAGCCTTTAGATTTATCTTAACAAAACGTCAAACTATTGGACTCTTCTAATATTTTAATAAGATATACTAATAATAACAATTCATTTTCAGCTACTAGTATAGAGTTGCAGTGTTTTTTATCGTTATAGCACAATAGCAAAATTAACGGAAATAGAAAGGCTTGAAGCAGAGGAGTGTATAACTTTTTATGCTATAAATTATAACATTGTAGGCGCAATGGGCCAAGCAACAGGAGCACTAGCATTTGGAATGATCATGACATCTATAGTTACATGTATAATGGGTTGCACTGGATATGAATAATAGCATCATACAATGTATTGAAAATAGTAGATTAGTCAAAGAAAGTTGAAACTTTATGAATGTTTCCTGTGTCTTATTATTCCAGCTATAGTTTTAGTATACATAACTGTACGATTTATCGTAATAGAGATCTATTATGATAAACAGCTATAATATTAACTTTTAATACCAGAAAATATGCTCATACTTGTAACCCTCACAGTTTTGCCATGCATACTTCATACAAGCATTAAAAATAAGCCTATACCCTTGAGGACTGCTGCAGAAAAACAATGAAGATGCAACAGAAAGAAGAATTAAAAAGAGTTAGACTAAGAAGTTATGAACAGCCTGCACAACAAAAGGAAAAGAAACGATTTATATTAAATGAAATCACTGAACATATGATTGTAAGAGATTAATAGGGTATGAAACTGCAGTGGATATCAATGACAGCAATGAAATAAAGAATCTTGTACTAATAGCATATAATAATATATTAGGATACTATACAAAGGAAATAAAGAGGAGGAAGAACTCAAAACTTTTCCTGAAGATGATAACAAGGAGTTGCTAAGTCATGAAGAGGAAGAATCAATTACTTAGTATCATGAACAATAAATGAAATTATGAAACAATACATTATGTGATTTTTGCAACCAGTTAATTATCTTAAAACTTATATGTACATGTACAATCACAATGTAAATATAATTGTCAATTATTTTTTCCATTAGTCACTATGTGGTTAGCTAACTAGATAATAAAGTTAAACTGTTGAGTGCTCTTAATTCTTATCATTTAAAATAAAACTCATAAAAGCTCACAGGAATGTCTTCTTGGTTACTAGTACTTTCATCAGCACACACACTCAGATCAAGGTAGTCAGTAGTGGCAGTGTTTACTGTTTAGTACCTTATTGAACCAAGGAAGACTAGGACAAGATGTACAACAATTAACTTCAAGATTACCACATCCTTTACCATCCCACAATGGATCAGGTGTGTAAAATATCTAACGATGTGTACCATCAGCAGGAATACCAGATTCACAGAAGTATAGTCATTACCAATGAAAGACTGAGGAGTTAAGTTTTCAATGCTACCTTGAGAACAAGGACAACAGAAGCGGCCATCATCCTAGGACACAGTGTCAAATTGTCCAGCCATTAGTGTCCGGATATGTGGACGAGGAGACCCATGCGTGATACTAACACCATCAACATAATAAGAATTAATATCATTGTGGTTAGAATCAATAACACTACCATATGTTTCACCTTGAAATCTGCCGGGATAAACTGCATCAGGTGAATTCTACTCATATCCCACTACTCGACCACACACTTGAGAGTAACTGATAGATCTACTATTAGATGGAAACTGAACTGATGTACAACTGCCTCCACTAGATGTTGCTCTACCACAAGCTATAACTCCTCCTGACTGGTACAGTCTAAACCTAAAAGGACAATTCTGTGTAGCATCAGACATATCTAGATATGCTATAGTCTTGTCCATCCTCCTGAACCACACAGCTCCTCTATATTACAGTAAACATATTGAGTGCCATTAGTAGCAATTGCCAGTAGGTATACACCAGAAGGACTGTTTGGTTGTTTGTTCTTAATCCATTGACAAGAAGTATAGGGATAGGAGAGAAGGAAGATGAGTCATTGTGTAACATGATAAGATCTTCCACCAGTAGCAGTATATCATTGATAGCTTAAGCATTAGAGGTAGCAGTGTCCAGCCTCCTTGATATGAGAGAGAGAAGAAATGATACTGTTCATTTTCTGTTTTATCTCTTGAATATCTTGATCATTGTTCCTGGTATTATTGAGTAGTTCATTTAATAGAGCATCATCTGTGTTATATTGATTGGTATCAGTATTACTAGTATCACTGCAGGTAGTACAGGCTGCAGACAGGTACTGTTAGCAGCATCAAATGTAAGAGCAAGATTAGAACTACTGATAAACTGAGGGAGAAAGGCAATAGCTAGTATAAGAAGAGAGAGCATTATTATCCTCTTTGTAATGATTGTTTACTGTTTACTCTTCACTCCTTTTATAATATTCAGAAGAGCCTGACTCATGACGTCAGACATGATGTTCTATGCAATGGGAAACATTCAAAGAACGTACTCTACTCTAGTCTAGTAAATTGTTAGTCAAAAGTGTGAAGGTGATGTGGTAGTAGAGTATCACTATCAATTTATATACTTTCTAAGAAATATTGACATGCATCAATTTACAATAATTTTAAAGTCTAACAACTATATAACAACTTCATTATCTAACTCACACACACACACACACACACAAAAACAATAATTCAATAATTATGTATCAATCTGTTTTATTAATCATTAGTACATTATGTACAAATTCTCATCATTAATTTTATTAACATACAGCTCATAAGCTAATTCATCATCATAATTATCATCTCCACAAAAAAATATATAATGAACCACTAACATGAGTACATCTTTCGAAAGTTGCCAATACTCATGTCTGAGATAATTAGTTAGTCTCCTTTGGATATTATAAAAGTTGTGAGGAGTAAACAGTATAATTATAAAAAATCATTACAAAGACAATTATAATAATGCTCTCTTGTCATATTCCACATGCAGCTATTGGTCTACTACATTCATCAATCAATAATGTATATGTACATAACAAAACATGTTGATTGTTTAAAATAATATTATGTTACCATGCTAATCAAATAGCGTGCGGTTCACTTCCGCTAGTCCCACCCACAAAAATGTAATTAAGCATCATTTCAATATTTCAGTGATAGTGTTAGAAATGATGTACATGTACAAGTTTTAGTTCTTGCGTTCCCTTCAATTTAGTGGCTAATTCCAAGTTCTTAATAATAACAATGAGACAATACTGCATAAAGCAAAACTTGTCAATTAAGTAGACTTTTTAAGGCACACATGCATGTTGCTAGAATGCTAAAGAATAATTCTATAACTGGGACTACCTATAGATCAGTCACCAGTGATGATACTAAATATTGGCAAAGGGTCCTGCATTTAATTAGAGTGATCTTAACAACATTGTAATTTATACATCCACATGTAGATGGTATAGCTCAATACCACACCTACTGACACACCTATTCATTACATTCAAATGCCTGTTGAAGGTTGTAATGTTCTTATTAACAAACAAACATTTCAATTTTCAAACATTAGTCACAGCCCTACATGTACACGTGTAGCATGTACCATTTGGAGGAATAATAAGATATCAGTATCAGCTAATATTGATTATGGTAATATCAGTTATCAAAATATTTGAAAAAAGCACTTCTGGTGCAATGATCTATCATTTACTTTGGTACTGTAGATACATAAAGCTTAACTGTTTTTGGATGTGTATTTGTAACAACACATATTAAATATAATATAATTTTTAAAACTTACAAAAAAGTAATAAATTTTCAGTCATAAAGTACAGTACATTTACATGTACATACATTTTCAGTCATAGAAATTTTAAATATTTTCAGGGATGAGAAGCAGAAGTACATCAGTCACGTCACACTAAAAAGAAAAAGAGATTAAACTATATTATTAATTACATACCAACTAACCTGATTCTTAGATCTTAGTCAAAATAGCAAATGGCTTGAGAAAAAAAATCAAAAAATACACATGTAAGTCCACTGAAGGACATGCATACACATGTAGATGTACTTGTTTATCAGACGACATCTCATGCAACTAAAAGAGGTCAAAGTTAACATAAATAGGTGTGGTTAGTGGCTGTGGTCTTACCTGGTAATTGTGTGACTGCATGATGGCATAAGTAATAAATGAAGTGTTCTATTCATAGATGTACATGTAACTGATGGACATGAATGAGCAGAACAAAAAATTAAAAATAAATTATTAGTGTAGGGAGAGAGAGAAAAGTACAAATAATAACAAAAATTATTATAATGGCAAATTTTAAGCAAATAAAAACTTGTGAAAAATGTAATTTCGATCAGGATTGGCTAAATTTTCTAAACTACAGCTAATACATCAGTAAACGGATGGAGAAATAGTTACTGCTAGCAATTTAAAAAATGCTCATAAACACATGAAGTTTCAATCAAATCCAGCTCAAACTTTCTACATAGCACTGAAAAGGACATCAATAAGAATCAAAAAACACAATAAAAATTGGAAAAACCATGGGCTATAGCATTTGCTTTTTGTTATAAAAAATTGGCTTACTTTTTATAATACTCACAACTTCAAAATTATTTTGTCAGAATCAGCTCAAACTTTCTACATAACATAAGGACATCAATATAAATCAGAAAATGTAATGAAATTTGAGAGTGATTTCAGAGGTTTCTTGGAAAAAATCATGGTCTATTATAGCCTTTGCTTTCTTCAAACAATGGCTTTTTTCAAAAATCCTCATTATTTGTTGAAATCAGCTCAAACTTTCTACATGGCATAAGGGCATCCATACAGTATGTATCAGAAGTCAGAAATTTTAATAAAAATTTTGGGTGATTTTGGCGCCATTATTTGAGAAAACCATATGCTAATCTGAATCAGCTTGTGTTTAATAATGCTCATAACTATAAGAATATTTGTCAAGAAAATTCAAACTTTCTACATGTACATAAAATAAGGACATCAATATGTACAAGAAAATGTAATAAAAGACTTACTTATTCAAATATTTCATTAAACAAGACTCAGCAACCTACATGTACAAACAATAAAGACATTGCATGTTACACGACTAGCAGTACCTCACTTTTATCATATAAATTTCAATCAGAGAATTATAAGGAAGATACTCCACCAGTTGGTTGGTCCAGCTGAAGTGGGGGATCTTGGTACTTACCTACCTCTGTATTACAATAGTAACCTTCAGCAGTGGCAACAATCCCACTATTTGAGATTATCTAGTCTACCAATATAGGAATGAAAATAAAAATAAATAACAATAATAATTATGTACATGTATATGTACATTGTAGTGACGGTGAAATGAAAAATATAATAGCAAAAATAATAAACAAAATCAAAAAATTATTCTATATTGCCATTTTAGTGCAATGCATGTACACATACGTAATGGAGCATGCTCCATTACAATAAAAAACTAGAAAGAATGTAAAACATTAAGGGGCTCTGAACTCCAGTCACGCCTTCCAGCCATGCCCACAAACACACACACATACAGAAATACTTCACATCACTGACATCAGTGGGCTTTGCCCAATTAGTGGTGCATTTAGTAGTGGCAATTTCTTTATACTGTCAATCACTATCATCAATCTTGTGACTTCTTTAAACATGTAAATTAGTGAAAATTTTATCCTTCAAACTACTGTACATGTATATGCATGCATGCATTATACTGTAAAGTATACAATTACAATTAATATTAACTATTACCGTATAACGGTTATTTTCAAGGATAACAAATTTTGCAGATTTTTCAAGATTCGCAAAATTAAATTCTCTGAAAATCAGTTTAATGCAGTACAAGACGGCAGAATAGTGCAAATTCGCAAAAATTAATTCCGTGAACATTCAGATACGGGTCATTTGTGCAATTTATTATCCTCAAAATAAACCCGCTATATGGCATTAATTAATTAATTACTAACCTAACCTCATAGTATAAAGTCCAAATAGCTTCAGGTTTGAAATGGCTTGAAAAAACTATCAAAAAGATAAATCCAATGATGAACATAATATTAGACAACATTTAGCACTGAAGAAAGGTGTGGTCAATCTAAAGGGTGAGGTCAGTGGGTGTGGTCTCACCTGGTAATTGTTTGACTGACTTGCTGATAGTGTACTTGATAAATGAAATATTCTCTTCATAACTGATGGGCATGAACGAGCAAGACTTGTTATACATGTACATTGTACATGTACAGTATACTTTTGAGCTTCTTAACATAAAAATTAGTAACAAATTAGTCTACGGACAGAGAAAAATACTGTATTATTAATAATTTATAGCAGAGAATTTCCATTGCCATTAAATTTATTGTCCATCCAAGCAGGCCTTAGAAGATATTTTTGTTGATTTTATTTTCATTGATTAACATTAATTATTAATCATTAACCAGCTCATACCCAGTTAATTTTAAATTTTCATTGTCTAAAATTTATATTGAAACTTTTGGCCAACAAAACAAATAAAAATTAGCACTCAACAAAAATTTCCAGCTATATGGTATCAGCCAAAAATTAACAAAAATCCAATTTTGATTATAGTAGTCTTTCACATTGTAAGTACATGTACATGTATATACAAGTACATCAAAAATGTAATAACAGTCTTCTTTTCTATTTTTGATGAAATTTGGGCAAAGTCTCTGTAATTATACATAATTATAGCACAGGGATTTTGATCCAATTTTTACGCAGCTTAGAAAAATAATAACAATCTAACTCTGATCAGAGTCAGCTCAAACTTTCTACACAACATAAGTACATCTACATGTACAATGAATATGCATCAAAAAATTATTATAAAAATACAGAATTTATTTTTGGCCAATGTCCCTGTACTAAAGGGTTTGACTCAATTTTCAAGTAATTTCAATAATTCCAATTTTGATCAGAATCAAAATTTTTTACACAGCCTAAGTACATGTACATGTATGTATTGTTGCTAGCGTACTTTAATGTGAATAATGTCGGTCCTCTCTGGCACTCTATCATTGACGTACCACAGTATAGACTGGCTCTTGATCTGACAGTGATGTACAGGTCACATTGCTATAGTCCTAAACTACCAGATACTTAATCTGAAGGAACAAAAATTTTATTGAAAGTCAAAAGAGAGGTTCTATTTCAATTAAATGGGTGTGCGTCATTAATTTTAAGTAAAAAATGAGGACAAGGGCAGACAATACTGGTAGGCATCAGAAAATTTAATTAAAATGGAGAATTCTCTCATGTGTCTCTCCTTTTGATTTTTGGCAAAATCAGTACCGTCTTTGCAATTAGTAATGTTAACACTATTTGCTGACTGAGAAACTCAGATTAATTTACATCTTTAAACTTATCAAAATTAATACTACAAGTATTAACCCAACCCTTTTCCCCACTATTACGTACCAGCATGAGAGCGGCCTTGAGAGGGCCGGCCATACAGTAATTCTGAGCATATCTATGTAGCAAGAAAGGGGCAAGCGCCCTGGCTCCTGAAAGCAAAATTTAGAAAAACGGGAATTGCCAATGGGTGAGAATACTGATTCCTATGATAAAATGCTATAAAAGCCAAAACAGCAACCAAGGAGCTTACAAAAGAGATAAATAGAGTATACTGAAACAAAAGGACAGGAGGCACGGAGGGTGTGGTCTGGCTACGCGAGACTAACACCTCTTTTCTGGTCCGTTGTCCCTTCAAAAGCTAGCTTTGCATACTGCGCATGCGCAGATGCATTAAAATGAATGGACAACAACCGCGCATGCGCATTCAGATGAACAACGGACTTGAAAAGAGGTGTACAAGGCTCTTAAAAAATTAATGTGACACGCCCTATTAAAAAAATTACAGCCCCTCCCTAGTCCCTATTCTAGTACATACTGCAAGTGCAAGAGAGAGAAATGACTACAAAATGCAGTAGCAGCCGAGGTAGCAGCTCTTCTTCTCCTTCTCTCTTTCTTTCTCCCTTGACTAAAAGTAAATAAGCTATTAACCTTATACTGTAGTATGTTTGTATTATGTCATATAGAGCAACTTATTGATGTTCTTGATCTATTGGAAAGATGTGGTTTCCCTCAGGCAAGATGGTGTGAGCTGGGATTGAGACTAGGACTATACAAGAACACACTGGATGCCATTGAAAGGAATTACCCTGGTGATGTAAATCAACGCTTGCTTGAATGTCTCTCCCAGTGGTTGTCCAGAGCTGATAATGTTGACGGTAAAGGAGGAGCTACCTTTGACTCACTGTCAGATGCTCTTAAATCTATGAATGAGAATGCTGTAGCTGACAAGTTAAACCAAGAGAGTAAGTTAATATCACTGATTGTATTAGTTTTGGCTGTGTGTGCAAAATATTATACATGTACATCTTCTGAAACACTCCTATACCATGTGGAAAAACTGTCTGCATGCTTTATATGAATGTACATGTCTGACTACAAATTTTGATTTCCTTGAATTGTATGGATGAAAATTTGTTACCGTATAGTGGGAAATTTTTGTGGCCAAAAATTTTTGTGGATTTCGCGTTTTTTTTTCTTTCAAAATTCAGGAAAATTAAATCTGCGAAAATTGTTAATATGATCCAAGATGACTGAAAAGTAGAAAACCATGAAAGTTAAAGCCACGAAATTGATTTTTAGATGGATCCGCGAAAAATTTGGGCCACGAAAATCTCCTGCTATACAGTAGTTGTATCGATGTAGTTGCTGGTCAGTGTCTATGAAATTTATTAGTAATGCGGTAGCGTTACTAAGTAGGACTGACCCCCAAACAAAATGGCTGCCACGACTTTTGCAGCCTTGCTATACCGGGAAAACAAGCTCCTATGCTTACCAGACTTTATAGAGGACCTTATCTTGACCAGAGGACTCCATTGGTACCCATAGCGTGGCTCTAGACCTTGTCTAATAGAAAAGCCAAAAATCGGCGAACGAGCCATTCTGTTCAGCCACCTTTTTTCATCATTGTCATCATCATCATCATCATCATCATCAAGTCTGAAGTCCTGTCAATCCAGTTGTCGGTGTGTATCTCAGTATCAGTTGGTGCTACAAGGATAATTCTTACACCAATCTACTCCAATAGTCTATGCACAGTTCCATGTCCCATCAGATCATTCTTCAAGTAAGGAAAAAGTGATACTGTGACTGCTGGATAGAGCCATCTTCGCTGCATGCAGCCATTTTGTTAATTAAAGAAGCATTAGCATGTGCTCCAAAATTTGGGTATGGTCGCGCATGCTCAGATCTGCAGCTCTGGAAGAAGCAATTAATTTTTTTTACCAAGCTATGCTTGGAATCAACTACTGCAATACTTTAGTGGAGGTTTCCAGCTAAAGAAGGTATTAATCTTACATGTTACTGTTTTATCAATGTGTGATTTTATTTTATTAAAAAAAAAACAAATAATTAATTAGTGTTATGATATGCAATGATAATATGAATGACAACAGCCTGGAAGAACAGGAATAGCTGCAACATTGCAGGGAAGATGGACACTCTCAGCTCACAGCTTCTTGAACAAGGACTTGTGTCAAGACTAGTATTAATTTCAGTTGTCATCAGGATAGTTGATATTCCTTCAGCATGTCTATTCAATGCTGTCTCTCATAAATGATGTAAAGTCATAACAATGATAATAATAATAAAGAAAATTATTGTTTGCATAAAATCAACAAGCATCACAATGGCAACTAAAGAAATATTATAAATATTATTAAAAAATCAACACAAACAAGAACATAAAAAATTAAAAAAAAACAAGGTTAAGTAGGATTCCGAACGACCAACGAAAATACGAAATGAAAATCCTACTCGTGACACAAATTCTACTCTACATTGCAAGGTGATCCATAATTCTTGCATAATAACAT